TATGTAAATACACATTTTTGATTAAGCTTTGATGAATGACGCATAAAAACAATGTTTAGCAACTGCCAAAAATATTAGCCAAATAATAATCAATAGTGCTCACAATAATGAAACACTATGCTGCCCACCTACTATCGTTTCATAGGATGGAGTCTGTTAGAAAAAACAGCCACTCTTCTCACATCACACAATGATGTGGAAGATCCCATTGAATGTTAGTACTGCCTTAGTTGGGAAGATCAAGTTATTAACAACACATTAAATGTTAAAAAGTTTAGAATAAAATCAATTCCAGCCGTAGAAAGCTTACTAAAAATTACTAAAGCAAATTCTACTTGGACAAAGTATTGTAAGCTGTGTCTGAAAAAAATTCCGTAGACTTGAATAGACTTGTGGCATATTAAGTATATCCAGATGATAGGAAAATATTTCAAAATAGTTTTGTTTCAATCAAGCACATATACTTTAAATAAAAATTGTGCAGGGTTAATCTAGTGCCTATAGGACAGCCTGGCCTAAGTTATAGAGCGCTCTGCTGCTAACCCAAAAGTCTCGAGTTCTAATCTGGATCCAAGTCAGTAGAATGTACTTGGGTCCACCAAGCTCTGATGGTACCTATATAGTTAAGAAAAGTAAAAGAAGCTGTGCAAAGTGCTGACACACCTCTCTTCAAATGCTAAGGTCAAGAAACATATAAATTCTACTTCATCTGCCCATTGGATTACTAGGTCTAAGAAGGATTCTTTACTTTTTCTTTTAATCCAGTGCCTGACAAGCAATCAACAGCTATTGATTTGTGCTTAGATTTTCATCATTGCCACAAAACAGTTACTTTTCTCTTGTACTGTTGTTAAAATGTTGCCGTTTTGGCAAATTCTTATTTAATTGTGTCTTAGTTTGTAGTTCAGTGTTGTCTTGCTTTGATGTTTGCGGTATAAAGTCTAAAGTCTGTATTTTATAACACCAAGTATACTCCATTCACTATTATGTCACATGGCTGTTTCTTTCAATCATCTCTTAGGGGGGAAGAGGCAGAAACTACCACCCCCCCCCCCCCCGAGCAAAATATAATTTATATAGAAAATAGATACTTTACTAGTAATTTTTAAATTGTCATGTATAAGAAGCTGCCTGAAATTTATATTTATCTGTAAATATATTATTTCTAATAATATAATTACTACCCATGAAAGTATATCTTGCATTTATGGAAAAACTTAGAAAAAATGATAGATTTTTGATACATTTTAACTAAAGTGAACTTTAAAATTAAAATATTTCTAATTGTTACTAATTTTTAATAAAAGTGTTAGCCTATTATTAAATGATATGCATTAACTTTTATCTATAGGAATTGTATAATTATACTATAAAATAGCATATTATATATATTCAAAAAGACATTATGGACCTTGGGGTTATCTAACCCTCCCTTACTCCTTCACATCAAACGTTGTTAAAAAATAGCATCATTATTAAGAGGGTGGAACAGTTAAAATTTTGACTTCCTGGAAAAAAATAAATAAAACACGTTCCCATGTAAAACTATGCCTGACTACCATAATGTATGATTATAATAAATTATATATATATATATATATATATATATATATATATATATATATATATATATATATATATATATATATATATATATATATATATATGTATATATATAATAGCTCTAAATATCGCTATGACAAGTCTATTTATTGATATGACGAATTAATAACGTATTATTGCATTATTGGGCATATTATATAAACATATAATATAACTGCCTACCACAGATTTAAAATCGATAATTTTAATTTATATCGTATTTCAGAGCTAGTAAGAATTTAATTTATTGATTTTGTTATCAAAGACTGGCAATACGAGCCACCTTTACAAAACCTGTTTGCGTTCTAACCCGCGTCATAATGTCTTTTAAGTAATCCATAACTGTGTGGCCTACTTCAAATAATCGATCAACTGGCACAAAAAGTGTACAGTGGGGTCGGCGTGGTCGAGTCGGTAAAGTTCATGGTTGCTAAACCGAAAAAGCCTCGGGCAGATGAGGCTCGTTAGCTGGGGACAGCCACTCTTCTAGGAGAGAAAACTCCAAAATTAAACAACTGCTGCCTTGTAGTTTGTTCTTGGTTGGACAAAGGCTATGAAAGCAAATCCAAAAAGAAAAGCAGGCTGAAATCGGAGTCAATGGCCTCAATGGCGCATAACCAGTTGACACGTAACGCTTAATTGTGTTGGAGGCTTGGTCGAGTCGCCAAAAAGCTCATGGTTGATAAATTCGAACAAAGTCTCGAGTTCAAACCCACTGGCAGATAAATGTCGTTCCCCTTCAACACTAATAATTAAGAACGAAGAAGAAGAAGAAGAAAGTGTACAGTACCATATACATGTATGGGACGGCGTAGTTTCGAGTTCGAATCTGGATTCATGTTAGTGGAACGTCCCGAGTCCAACCAACTCTATTTTGTACCTAACTCACGTTAGGGATAGTAAAGGTTAAGAAACATATGAACTCCATTTCATCTGCCCAATAGACCGTTAGGTCTAAAGAGGATTCTTTACTTTACTACCTTGTACATGTAATTTAAATATTTGTGTATTGCTCTTCTGAGCTACTTTTACCCATTTTTCCAAGTTATTTGACCTCTGGGAGATCCGGGTAGTAAGAGTTTTGATGTTAGTTGTATTTAACATGTTATTTATCAAGTTATGTGATGACACGGTGCAGTGTAGGTCAATCACACAATCAGATTCCTTAGGTTATTTCTTTCTTTGGGGGTAGTGTCGTTCCCCCGCCTCCCCGGAGCACATCTATTGACCCCCACCCTACCTCACACCCTTGTAAATTGTAAATGCGCCCCCCCCCCCTCTTCAACGAAAACTTTAAATGCACCCTACCTCGGGGATTAGAAGTCTTAAATAAATTCTGCAGGCAATAAACACTACAAAGTTCTTTAGTTCATGCCCTATAGTTTGTAAGGCGTATTCAGATTATGTTGCAAGACGGGTTGGCACATAACTTACCGCACCTCCCCTTCTTGACTGTTTTAATTGGTACACAGCCAAGTTGACATAGTCATACGCCTGGTTGTAATGATCACAGATACATGCCTCAATTTTCTTTAGTTATAGATTAAGACTTCCGTGTAAGCAATCGAGTGATCTACCCTTCGATTTTTCGATGGTGTCTGTCATTTAATGACAGGAAGGGATTTGCTGGGGAAGTGAGATAATCTGTTCTCTCTTATCTATAATAGACGTCAAATTAATTGTTAAAGGCGTATATACTTTAACGACGTTCTACAAGTAACATAAATGATGGGGTTTGTGGGGATGTATTGCGATATTGATGTTTATCTTTCGCTTTATAGTAACGAGCAGTTATCAGAATCTGATTTGATTGGGGACCTTCTACGTTCGCATTAGCTTGGTTTTTTTTTTCTTCTCAGCGACCTTACAAGTTTTTCCATGTCGTGTGACGACGGGGGAGATCTGGGTAGTGAAGTTAATACTTTCACGACAGCAATACAACCAGACCTCGAGTGGTCATGTCACTGTGTGCTGACATAACCATAGACAGTAAAATAGCATTGATTGATGAAGGTCATTCTAAGTGGTATTTGAAATTGCAATTTTATTTACATTCCAGAAAATATTAATATCTGTATTTAAAAAAAAACAAAAATGTATCATTTTAAAACTTTGTGTGTGTGTTTATATCAGCAATTCATAATTAATAAAAACAAGTATCTGTAAGATTGAAAGACATCATTTTAAAAACTTCTTTGATGCATGAGGAAATTACTTCTTTAAAATAAAAAAAAATCCCTGTGATGACAAAGTTCAATCATTGAACATGTAAGTGGGGACACTTAAATTTGACATAAAAGAAGATAAAACTATGGGAATTTTTTTTTTAAACGATGTGCTATGAATGTTTAAGAAATATGTCGGAGTAGAAGTAGCCTATATATTTTGAATTTCTTAAAAAAAGAGAAATAAAAGATTTTTTTAAAAATGTAAAATAATGACAGGAATATGGTTATTCATATAGATGCAAGTCTAAAGCACTGTGACTTTGTTTAACGATGCTGGTGTGACGAAAAGAGTGTAGGTGAACATGTCACAACTTATTAAATATTTATTTTATAAGTTCGCCTGTCAAGCTTATGAACTTTTAAAATGTTTAGCATTGCACTTACTTAACGTACTTAGACGACCAACTTTTAAGACCTAAGATAAAAACATTAACGTTTACATGTGATGTAGCGCTTAAAACTTGGAATTCTTCACTTCGTATTATGCAGCTGTGATATAAATAGGTCACATATAGGTCATATATTCAAACCAACAACAACCGTAGTCTTTTAATATGCAGCGAAGAGTTAGGGAATTCCCAAGTCAAATAAAGGCTATGTAATTTGGGTCAACGCCAGCAGGGTCTGAACGTTTTCCTGAAAAATCGACACACTGATCTTTGTAATCATCTTCCATTTTTACTACCTCTATGTTACTAAAAATAGCCTTTATAGTTCTCCATTAAAAGGAGAGAAACTTTCATTTTCAATTATATGCGGCCTACACAAGAACAGTAGGCTAAATCATATAAAGTAATACTTTACATAAAAGATAATTCATAACGAGATGCAATGTAGTGTGCTATTTTCCTGACCGCAGCGATGTCTAGTTACTACTTAGCTAACACCACCAAAAACGTGAAACGGCCAGTAATGACATAGTTTAAGACATTTTAAAATGATAAAACGTAGTAAGGAAAACTACGCAGTTTTTACAAGAAAATAAACAAGAATTTAGCAAGTTTTAGTGTGTATTTGTGAAAAAGAAACTACTCTAGTACTACGTCCACCATATCGCAGCCTGCAGCAATAACAACCCCCACCCGATTCTGGTCTCAGCAAAGCTATAAATAAACTATATTGTCCTACTTTTATTTTATAGACTGTACTTGGCCCACATTGCACATACTACACCTTTCCGTCGTCGAATTAGACAGGGTAAACTTCTTAATGTTTTTCGCTAGTAATTCTAACAGTTCAAATCTACAACTGACAATATTTTAAAATAAGTCATGGCCAAGGTAAGTTTTCTTTGTTTATTATAAAAACACTTACTATGTCTAGTCATACAGCTTACATCTTTCTAAGCAATTTTGATTTTCTATCAAGTTTAAATAGCATACACGAGAATTAAAATGAAAAAATATTAATGTGCTAAAAAATGTGTATTCCCTTTGCTTCTATCAATGTTTTAATAATATGGTGGTTATCTAAATACTACTAAAACTCAAGTTTGTTTACATGTTTGAATATTTATTTGTCTGTTTGTTTGTCTGATTGGCTACAGGAGAGAATCTGCACTATGTGTAGAGCTGTAAAGTAGTATGTAGATAGAGAACAATTTTTGTTTTCAGACAGACTGTTAATCATAATTTTTTTAAAGAAGTTAATTATTGATTGGTAGATTAACCACATTAATTATAAAAGTTTAAAAAAATGGCTTTACTTTGACTAAATAGTGACGTCACATGATTTGTTAACTTTTTTTGTTTACTTTTTAGTACAATAAAATGGCGGTTTTCAACTATCGGAGATTGTGTTCCCATTCCAATATTTAACGCATTCTTAAGCTATAAAAGAAAGTATTTATTTTATATTTAAAGTACCCCAGATTTATTATATTTTCAAAATTTATTTTACATTTAATAAAAATTGTATTATTTTCTTCTTTTTAGTGCATTTATAAAAGCTTGTAATTATAAACGTTTTTATGTATTTATTATTAGCTTCACGGATCATCTAATTCAAGAATAACACTAGTGATTTATCTATCTAGGTTCTAGATCTAGATCTAGATTCTAGAGTTACGGAAACAATAGACTTAACCAAACCAATCGTAGAATTTAGATAATTCTATCTAGATCTAGATTATAATGAGTTTCTATACTAAACTATTTCAGACCTTTATTATTTTGTATAAATTTAAGATACAATTTAATTTGAAAGTTACTAAACTTAGATCTAGATCTAGATAGGGACTATGCGCGTAAATTAAGTTGCATAAGGAGACTCATAGTATTAACTTATACCACAAAAAAATCAGAGAAGAATTTTTTTTAGATGTTAATGATAAATTTGCCTATCTGAACTTGGCGGGATACAGGGCAGATAAAGTAGAGTTCATCTGTTTCTTTGTCCTAAGCCTATGAAGGGAAAGTGTGGTCAGAGACATGCTCGGCCGGAATCGTTTTTTTAAACGATAAAAATATGTTGTCTTAAACTTAGCGGGACACAGGGCAGGTGAAGTAGAGTTGAGTAGGTCACCTGTGACGTCAGTATATGAAGGGAAAGTGTGGTCAGACCTATGCTCAGCCGAAATCGGTGTTTTAAGAAGATAAAAAACTTCTTTTTGAATCTGGGGTCTGGTTATTTTTTGATGATAAGTGACAGACGTGATGTCATTTATGGATGACCCCCAAAACCCACAGTTATCCAAGGGATGACCGGTAGTCTAGTTATCAATTAAAAATGTAGCAATTAGGTCTAGGATTGTAAGTTTTTTATTGTTATTACTTCGTTTCTCAAACTGTTTTTAAATTTTAGGTAATTGCACCTAATACGGGTTTGAAACATTAGATAATGAATTTATCCGATTTTTAGCTGTTTTTGAATGTGGTTAAAAAAATGTACTTGAAATATAGTTTCATGTTTCAAAATTCAATAATAATCTCAATTTTTTCATATGTACCATCAGTCACAATGTTGTATCAAAACAAACTAGATCGTGCATGCACAATTTCGTATATTATTAGTCACTTTTCATTTAAGTGTTTCAAAAGTTGTCCGCCCTTTGCAGTATACCCGAAGTAAAATGTATTGAATACAAAGCGGGAGTGATCTCCCCTAAACTTTCTCGTATATTTGTGGTAACAGTAAGGTGGAGGTGGGGGGGGGGGGGGTGAGGGGGGGGGCTGTGATAAAAATGTGCGTTATGGATTTTTTTTTGAATATCAATTTTAAAATGAAATAGAAGAGAGTTGAAAAAATAATTGCTGGTAAATGGATGAGATACATGCTCAATTCTTCATCCCATCCTTATCCTTAAGCCGATAATAATGGTCTTCTAGAGAAAGAGAGCGCGCGAGTAGAGAGAGAGAGAGAGAGAGATAGAGAGAGAGAGAGAGAGAGAGAGAGAGAGAGAGAGAGAGAGAGAGAGAAGAATGAAAACATGTTTAAATAAACTTAACCATATAAGCATGTATAAGCATATTTATTTATATTTTCCTTTTATATTATTTTCGTACACAAAGCAAGAAGTGATGCTTACTTTATAGAACAATTGTTGATTATTAAAAAAGTGTGTGTGTACGGCTGTTTGTGTATGTCTTTAATATACATTATGTGTCAACAATGCTTTTCTAAAAGAATTGTTTTTATAAAATTGGTACCTAGCCTCTATCAATGTGGCAATAAGTCTTAAAAAGAATATATTATATGCTTTTTTCTTACCATTGTCTACGCTCATTTTTCTTAAATGTACCAACGTCTCCGCGGGTTTTCTCGCGGTTGAAAGGATAGCCCAGGGAAAATCGCACCCTACCAATGAGCGTGCGGCCGCGCCTGATTCAATTTAGTAAACGACTATAACACTACTTCTTATCCATTTTCCAGCACACTCTTTAAAATGAACTTATGCGCAATAGCTCAAGGGAGAGTGCTCACAAGAGAGTCCTGAGCGCTTCGCGTCACGCAATAGCCGGTGCGCCGGCGGCTGCGCATGTTGCAGTTTTACCGCTGAATATATTATTACCTCACCCGCTATGCATAATTAATGCATGCCAAGTGCTAGCATAGCCGCTCTGGATCTCTGGCGAAAAATCGGGTACTGACGATAGTCGCATCCACACAGGCGCCGCCCATAACGCATTTTATTTATTTTTATTTTTTTGGCAAAAATCTATTTAAAACTATTTTCATTTACTCCTAAAACTTTCATGACACTCGGATGAACGGTCTCGAACTGCATCCGACTTTTATTTAGTATATACCGTATACAGAGAAAACAATCTTTGTTCCTCCCTGGGCGCCGCCCTTGCGGAATTTAATAAAAATGGATTTTTTTTGCAGCAACCTCCACTTTAGCGTTCTAATAAACTCCCTCAAAGTTTAAAGGTGATCCGATAAAGGTATAGTAATGCATAAAAGGAGCACACGGACATACATACGTTAAGTGTATGAAATAAATAAAAGGCCGTATATAAAATATCTGTGTTTTACATATCATATTATACTTGATCAATCAACACTAATTATGTAATTATTATTTTTCCCAACACCAAAACAAAATAACAAAAAGAACCCCCCTCCTATGTAATGTTTTTTTTTAAGCGACGCAATTAATGCTAAAGGACTAAATGAAAATAATTTTCAGATACATACAGAATTGAACTTATTATATATATATATATATATATATATATATATATATATATATATATAATATATATATATATATATATATATATATATATATATATATATATATATATATATATATATATATAACTTTATATTATTTAGACTACTCGTGTTGTGTAGGCTCCATTAAATCAAAAGTTGTACACAATTTAAAGTAAAAATTTGGAAATGTCGATTTTTCCCTGCGACACATTACGTGGCATAGGAAATGTTCAAGATGTCGGAGTAGTAGTAGCCTATAGGCCTATATTTTGAATATCTCTTTTAGAAATACGATTTTTTTAGAAGCCAATTTGAAACATTATTACCTTTTTATGAAAGATTACATGTAAAGCTTGAATAAACTCGAATCCTTCAATCCTGCTTACAGGGCAGTGATATAAATAAGTATTATAAAATCTTACCAGTACCAACCCCTCCATTTTCTGTCTGCTGCGTATTGTTAAGGAGTAGGTGTATGGGCTTTATTTGGCTCTATGCCAGCAGGGGCTGAACGTTTTCTTGAAAAATCAGATACACTGAATTGTGTAATGCTCTTCTATGATTATAACCTTACTTTTACACTAAGAACGTTAAATGCTCTTCATTAAAAGAAATACACCTTTCAATTATTGTACACATTAAATGACATAAAGTAATATTTTATTTAAATAAAATTTAAAACGAGGTAGGGCCTACAATGTAGCGCGACATTTTCCTGACCGTAACGATGTGCAGTTACAACTTCAGTAACACAACCAAAGAAACTTAAAGCTGTTTGCTAAGACATATTTATAGTGGTTTTAAAATGAACAAACTTTGCTAGAAATACCACACTTTAATGCAGCTTCTAGTAGAAAATGAAAAGGAGTGTAGCACATGTAAGTGAATATTTATGATAAAGAAATTACTTTAGTATTACATTCCCATAACGCTACTTGCAGCATTAACAATATCACCCCACTTCTGGTTCAGAAAAGATCTATAAATAAACTAATGGGTCACACTGTTAATTTTTAACCAACGCTTTTGTTCCATTTTAAATACAGTATACCTATCAGTTATATGCAATCGTCGAAATAACTTAATTTTTATTTATTTATTTAAATTTTAAATCAATATCTGTCTATTTTTAAAAAAAAATATATAGCCAGGGTAATTCGTCTCTTTACAAAAAAGCCTATAATTTTATCTACAAACAGCTTACACCTTTACACGCTTAATTGATTTTCTAATTCTATCTTGTTTAAATACCATAAGCGATGATTAAAATCTCATATAAATTTGAAAAAGTCAAAACAATGGTAGAGTGTTCGACTGCTACCACGAAAGTCTAGAATTGGTGTCCTAGTATAGAGTTTAAGCACACCCAAGAGTCCTTCCAACTCTGATAGGTACATGAATTACGTTAGGGAAAGTAAAGGCGCATGGAATAGTGTTGACCACACTACCCCTTCATATGCAGAGGTTACTGAAAGTAATGTATTTCATTTTACTACTCCGTGGTGCATTAGGTTCAAAAAGGAACTTTACTAGTGATTCTAATTAAACCAAGGATTGTATTTGTTTTAGTTTATTATTTTCAAATTTTCGTTGGTGTGGTGGTAGATGTTAAGGCTACTTA